GTAATACCCGAGTGTCGGACCCCAACGGAGTAATAAGTTCCAACAGAAATAATAGCATTGAAAAATATCCACTGGACTTGCCGTTGGAATTCTATTTGAATATATTGCTGTTGGAATTTCATCATTTTCTTCTAATGAAAGAAAATGTAACTTCATAGATTATTTTAGTGTTGATCTCCGTTTGGAGTATTTTTGTTTTTAAAAAACAATATTTTATCCTAAATTTTACGTTGAAATATGATAATATTTTTTTATTTTATTTTTTGTAATGTTTGTAGAACCATTATGCCAATTAACATATATTCATACAAATAAAAATAATTTAATAAATAACTTGTATAATGAAATAACTAAAATCGTGAAATCTACATAAATTTTTTAACAGTGTAAAAATATACATTCGAGTATTAAATTGTTATACTGTTGACAACCGACCTAATCAGCCGGATTCTAGGACATTACGTTGAGAGGATTAATCATCGAGTTCAGCTAAGCATGGACCAGACTCAATATAGGATGAACTCGGCTCAGACCGGATGGAAAACCGACTTTTTTCCCACTGGGAGTCTGCGATGACCGACTTCCGTGATACCGAAGTCCAAAATCCGCAACCGAGATCAAATCGCCGAAGACAAGATATCTGTCAAATCCAACCGCCCGCCACACATGTCCTAATCATGACCTAGGGGCCCGCCTGCAGAATAACCGCCTCTATAAAGTCACTTTACACTGGATGTTCAAGGCACCTGCTTCGATTATCGAACTAAAAGTTACTATAAATAGCAGAATTAACTCTTGTACGATGATCTTTTTGAAAAACATTAAATTCTCGCATAAAATACAGCCCGGTGCATACAAAAACCGACTTTCTGTAACGAAATTTGATCTCACGATAATACAAAAACGCGCTAATTTATAGTATCTTACACACTTAATTCTCGTTATTATCGTTGTTAATTTCCATATAACAACATATATAATAACATGCCATGACACATAAACAAAAACAAAAAAATATATAATACGAAATTAATAGTTTAATAAATAATTTATATTACATTATGCAGCATACCATATTTGTAACTAGTAAGTGCACTAGCCACTTACGTAAAAAGAAAAGAAAATTAACGAAATAGTGATTACCAATTATTGGCTATTACCAAATAATAATGGCGTGTCAATCCAATTCAAATTATATTATAGTCACTGAATTCGTCACTGGTTTTGGAAGCACTATGAAGAATGATTATAACAATCCATGTTAAAAATTGTTAATTAATAATGTCAATTTCTTATCTTTTTTAACTACTTAATTAGAGTTACAAACAAATATTAACACTGATCAATAGTAATAATGTGATATCTTTGTATCATGGCACAATTGCTATGTGGTACCATATATAGGATTTATAAACAATTTATTTATCATGAATAATGTGGAATATAAATATCAAATTGAAATGCATGTTTTCATTATATATGATTAAAAAAATCCTAAAATAAATAACACCTATACATTGTCATACTTTTATTATTCCCCAACAATTGTAAAATAACCTTACTCAGTTAACTATTGCACAAATCAAGTCTCAAACATTTTCTCAAGTATGTGAGGAGTCATCGTGTATTGTTTGTAATTTTTTTTTTCAATTAGTTATTAGTAGATTTTTTTTTTTTTTCAGATTTTTTGCAATTTAGGGCATGTGCTCGATTTTTATCATTTGCCCCAAGTACTGGATATATTTTATACTTTCTTTTACTTATTACCAATAAAACCTAAAATAAATGTGACTAGTATTTCTTCAAATTAAATCAACAATTACTATATCAAATTCTTCTGCAAATTTCACGTTTCACTCTTTTATAAGCTGTCGTTCATATTTATTTTCAATCTATTTTTTTCAATCTCATTAGTTGTTTCTAAGTACATTCAGTTTCACATTAATTTAAACAATTCGGTAATATCTTATTCCAATCAGACTCTCAATACTCATTTTTTTCTAAAAAAAAAAAAGATTTTAGTTAACCTTATCCATTTAAAGATTATAGATAAAAAATATATATTAATTGCGTGTTGTGTGAAGTGACACGGTGGCACTAAAATGTAGGAAAATCAAAAACTAGCATCCTGAAAAAAGGGAATCTTTACTAACTCCAAATCAAAATCAAATTATGAATTCATATGGTGTCAATTGTCAATTTCATAATAGTTATTAGTTAGTGTCGAAATCATGATGTGAACATTTAGAAGGGGTCAATATATTATATTCACAAGTTGTCCAATAGTGGTCAAAATTACATATTGTCACATTAATTGCACAGAAAAACTCTAACACGTAATTATAATTATCATATTTATATGCACATACTGATTATTTTCACTATCCACCGGCCGCCGAATCACATGCAGGTGTGTGCATGATCCAACCAATGTGCCTATTTCAAATAATCGTCATTAGCTAATATTTATAAGATTATATTTTTTAAATTACGGAGATTAATTTGGTAAATAATGTTATATAACACGCTAAAATTAGTAAAGCGGTCATTAGGAATATTCTTCGAACTGAGTTGAGTCGAGTAACTCATGTTCAGGCTCAGTTTGTTAAAGCTCGTGCAAGCTCGACTGAGCTCTATTAATTTCGTTTTGTTGACCTAAATTTTGAACGAGTTGTTCCCGAACAAGTTCGCCTTTACTGTTTCCTTTAAAATTCATAAAAGTAAAATATTTTAAAAATAAAACTAAAACACGAGATGTTCGCGAACAAGCTCTATTTGGCACGTTTAATAAATGAACTTGATTAGTTTTTCAAATTCAACTCTTTGCTCTCACAAGCTGGATCGAATGGTGGTCACAAACAACTCAATTTATTTAATAATTATAGTGATCATGTAAAATGAAAGCAATAATGAGTAGTAAATTAGCAATTGAATATCAATCAAGAAGTTTCAACAATGTTTCTCTAACTCTAATTATACTGAAATTTAATTAACCAATAAAGTCATTTCAAAATTTAATTAATCCAATATTTTTATTCCAAAACATGGACCAACAACATGTGCATACTAGAGATCAACACATTTTGATATTTTTAATTTGAATACCTTATAATTTAAAAAAAAAAAAATACTTTAAACTGTTCAATTGATTATATAATGGACAAATTAGCTAGTCACAAACTCAATTGCTTGAGGTATGTATAATGGCAGACAGGTCACAGTTCAATTATTTGGAGCACAATTAAATTCCTTACTTTACAACTTGGTGCTGAAAGTAAATGGGTCAAACTATATTTTGTATAATTGTAGCTTAGTTTTAATTGCTTTTAATAACTTGGATGTAAATTTTGGGATGGAAAAATATGGGGTCACATGTTATTGCATTATGTTGTTAATTAATTAGTTTAGCATTTATGGTCGGACACATTCCGTACATACCAATAATACCGGTCTAACCAATCCAGGCATGCAATGCGAAAATTACTAATTCACAGATTATATGTATATATATTATTATAAGTGCTCTATTTTTATAGTGGACGGTTATTTTCTTTGATTTTGTTTTACTCTTTAATACGGTTTGTAATATGTTGAATCATTTTTTTTTCTTTCAATCTTTTGATTTTCGTGATCATATATTGTAATTGAGTGATTGGTCTACATAGGAGGTGTAAACTAGTCGAGTGGAAACGAGTCTAAACTTCTGATACTTGAGTTTGAGCTCAAATCTATGAGTCAAATTCAAATAATAAACGAGTTCGAATTTGACTCTTTATCAATATTAATGTGCCGAATTCGAGTTTTAACAAGTCGAACTAACATAACAACTCAGAAGACAATTACTAATAACTCCTATTCTCGAGCCTGATTACTAGTCGTTTTGCGCTATGACATTTTGAATATATATGTGTCCTCGTTGGTTATTAGCACTTTCACCATACCTCTATAGTTGATTTATATGCCATTTCCTATTCTTCTTGTATATATATCTTACATTTTTTTGTGAGACAGTTTAACCGTTCGGGAGTCAATCCGTTATACCTTAAACACAAAAATGTATACTTATAATATCACGATGGCATTTGTCATGTTTTTGTTTATGATATACATTTCTAAAGTATGATATTTTATAATGAAAATATGCATATATTTATGAAAATAGTATATCCCAATGGTTAGGTCAGCTTAATACAAGGCATACAGTATGTGTTACGATAGGGAAATGTAATAACTTTTGAAAGGAACCAATTTAAACACATGCTGACATAATGAGCATTTAGCAAATGAATTCCAACAAAATTGAAAGTTGAACATGGAATAGGAAGTCTTAAGAAATGTAATAATATTCATTTTTCATCATTATATGTACTACAGTTAATTATATTGACCCAATGCAACATATATAAATTAACACTAAGGTTGTTATTAGACTGACTTAATCGTTAGATATTTATATTTTCTTTTAACAAATATACATATTTTTAAACTAAAAAAAATCCAGAAAAAACAATATACATTTATAGCATAAACATAAATTTTTATTAAAAATGTGTGACCAATTGCCCTGCCTTATTGTTTGTACGCCTTACACAGTCACATTTTGAGAAGTTCTTTGTCTCATTAATAGCAAAAGCCCACTCCAATAACAAGGTCGATTCCCAATTTATGAGCATTGTACTGCAAAATAAAAAATAAATTAAATTAGATTAATAAGAAAAAAGAGAGAAAAAATAATGAATGAAGTGAGCAAATGTTGTCGCACCACATAATAAAAGCAGAAATTGTACTTTAAATAAATGAAAGAAAAAAAAAATGATAACAATTTGAGAAGAAAAAAAAAAAAAAGAACGAAATCTTACACGGTGGAAATATTTTATCTATTTGACCAACAAAATCCATCCACGCAATCCTCCAAATTCAAGAAAATTACTATTTTACCCTTGGACTATACACAGTATAACTAAAGTCTCGGGGCAAAGGTGCACTCTTTGGCTTCGCCTCAGGAAACCTCCTCTTCCCGACCACCCTGAAATCGGAATATTCCCATTTCCAAGCCCCAAATTCGTCATTTCACACCTTTTGCCACCACTGTAAAACATCATTTTTCTCCAAACTCGTATGTTCATCTGTTTGTGTAAGTATACTGGACATTTATTTTTCTTTTCCTGTTTTCTATTGGTTTCTCTTTTTTTCCCATTTTCCGACGAATTCTTAAGTTCGTTTTTCGCATTTCGACAGTAATATGTTAGTAAGTTCTTTTATATGTCGTTTCTTGAATCGGATTTTGGGCTCTCAAATGTTAATCGAATCGAGATTAAACGAGCTTTCGATCTTCTTCTTTCTATATGATCTGTGATATTTATCATTTTATATTGTTAAAGAACTTCTGTATAGCCTTTTAGGCAGTTCTGAAGCTAATTAAACTCCCAATGTGCAATTTTTTAATCACGAAGTTTTTTTTATCTCCATAAAATAAAATAAAATTGCCCTTCTTTTTCTTTTGATTTCCCCTGTTTTTCTCCTTTGTTATGTACTTATATATGTTCCACTTGAAGGAGAGCCAATACTCTTATAAACCTGATAAATGAGCTCGAACTGAGTTCGTTTTATCAATATTAACGAGTCGAACTTGAGTTTTAACAAGTCGAACCAAGATAAAAATTAAAAAAAAAAATTACCTGATGAAACCCCTTGTTTTCAATCTTTAATGACTCGAGTTCAATTCAACTCGTTAAATAAATAAACTCGATATCAAATTGTTTATCAAATGGATTGAGTCTAGCTTATGAGCCGCTCATTTAGTTTAACAACGTAACTATATTTCCTCTATGTAAAGTCTCAAAACACATAATGTGAAGAAAAAAAAAAAGAGTGGGAAAATCACCACATTACTACAAAATTCCACATTTACCCTTTTTATAATGTTTGTATTATACAAATTTATAATATTTGTTTGCATGTGACTTAAACAAAGTCACATTTTCTCTTCTGTTTCTTGTTGTCTACGATCCTTGTTGCGGCCCCTGTTTCAAAATTTTCCAGCAACTTGGTTATATTTTAATTCATTGAATAAACTACCATTTTTTTTTATTTATTCCGAGTCCCGACCAATCACAGTTGACATATTTCAAACATTAATTATAAACACAGTAGAATCTCAAATGCCATTTGGTACTATAGTCTATATTGCCCAGAAGCTCAAGTTCTTCAGACACACTCAAAATTTTCTTATTTTTATTTGGAAAATAAAATATTAAAGTTTTTTTTTTCTCGAAAAAAAATATTTGAAGTATTTATGTAAATACTGCAAACAGGATTTGACTCGTCAGTGGCGGCAATGAGAGCAGAGCCGAGAAATCCTAAGGTGGGTCGAATTTTATTTTATTTATTTATTTATTTATTTTTGTTTTGTGGGGGTGTTAATTAAATTAAAGAAGTTTGTTATTTTGATTTTTAATATCTTATTTATTTATTCATTAATTTTTATTTATTTATTTATTTTCCGGCAGTCATCGTGGCCAACGGTAGTGGTCAGAAAATGGTTGAACATGAAAACTGGTAGAGATGAATTTCACTCAGATTACAAGATGAATGNTATATATATAATTTTGCTAAATCTTGAATTTTAGTAGTGTTTCAAAGAAGAAGGAAGAGTTGCGGTGATGATGGACTATACGTTGTGGTACCTGAAGAATTATCAGGTAATCCTCATTTATTTTTTCTATTTTTATATAAAACAATTAATATATGTTCCATAAGAATTTAATTTGTGATGCCAATTCAGACTCTTTTTTTTATTCCTTTTTTCTTCTTTAATTTTATTGCCACGATTTGAAAATTTTAGAATTTTTAGTGTGCAGACATGAAATATATTTTACAATTCAAATACAATTAAAGAAGAAAAAAAATATATAATCAAACTTATATGTACGTATTCATTTCATTATTTTTGGGAAATTTGCAAATATACCCCTTTCTGGTCACCTTTTATTAAAAAAAAAATAATAATAATAATAATAATAATAATGCAAATATGTCCAAAATATCATGATCTTTATCGAAGTTGCAATTTAATATTGACCTTTTTACTTTTGCAAATTATATCACAATCTTTAGTTTGTTGCAAACAATCTGAAAATAGTCATAGAAAAGTTGATGTGGTCGAACAACACACTGAAGATTGTGATATAGTTTGCATATGTTAATCGGTACACCAATTTGTAACAAACTGAAAATTGTGATATAATTTGTAAAAGTGAAAAAAGTCGTGATTAAATTGCAATTTCGAAAAAGATCATGATATTAAGTACAATTTTGCCTAATAATAATAATATTTCATAATCTGTCATAATATTTATTTCGATCATTTTTCTGATCATCGCATTAAAAAAAATTTGTTTACCAACGGTTAGATAACAAAAGAATTTAAGAAGATGTAGATACTAACAAACTTAAATATTATACTCTAAAAAATAATATAAAAAAAGTTGTGATATTTTTTTATAGTATAAGACTAACTATACATTTTCGTAAAAAAGTATATAATATTTCAACCGTTTACGGTTAGACCATTCTACACACAAAAAAAATTGTTCAACCGAAAAATAGATTTTTATAGTTGCAATTTTTTTTTTTTTACTGTTAAAATATAGTATCTGTATTTTTAATTAAATTTGAAAGTCTCCGACAATCTAATAACCATGAATGCAACTCACAAAACCTTTGTTGCAAAATAATCAATATAACATAGTCAAAATGGCCTTAAATTTAATATTATTTGCCTGTATATCAACATTATTCGAATAGGCCATTGGTTGATATGATGTGGTAAGCCGTAACATTTATTGGTTTATTTTATGACTGAAAATTCAAATATTTAAAAGGGAAAATCAAAAGTTGTGGTCGAAAGGCGTTGGAATATTTCGGGAATTTATTTCTTGAATTTCACGTACGCCACATGGACCATAGGGAGGGGCCTAATTTTGTTGAAAATTAGGTGGTGACGATATCTTTTTATGATTAATAATCCAAATGGGGGCCTAGTTTTATTGTAATTATTATGATTTACGATTAGTCCTAATTAAATTTTAATGATGAGATATTTATACCAGAAGAATGGTCGATCCAAACGAGGGGTGATGATCAACGGCCAGGATTTGATCAGATAGTACCCTTTGTACCCAGTACCACCAACCTCAGGTGAGATGCATGAAATTTATTATACGACATTACAAGAATATTGAATATAATATATCTTTCTGTAAAAAAATGAACTATATTACGTATACGTCTTACTAAATATTATCAAATGCATACGAGAAAATATTTTGTTTCTTGATATATAAAATCGTTTAAAAATTCATTGGATATCCATTTTCAAACTACAATGAATTATAAAAATTGTATGAAGATCCAATGAAAAGAATATTTCAAACAGTCAACTAGTTGTACAATTTTTTTTCCCTTTTCAAATAAAGAGTTTCGAAAAAAATAAATAAAGAGGAAAGAGTATTATTAATTTAAATCACGAATATACGCCGAACCAACACTTAAACTTAATATTTCTATCTTGTCGATTATGGGATAAGTTTGATTATTTAGTATTACCTCCTATTTTTTTTAATTGTCATTTTGACTTTATCAACCATTAATCAAATAAATGACGTTTTGGATCTTTTGTACATATTTTTCTATTATTACCCTCATTTAGTTAATAAATACACTGCGTATTTTCATATTTTCTCAAAACATCCATCTCTAGCTAAATTAATGAAGGTTATGATTGGCAAAAAATGATTCTTAAGTACTGTGCAATTTCTCAAAGCAACACTTATTATAAATAGGAGAGAGTATATTTTTCTCTTTTAATAGGTTGAGTGTTTATATAGGTGTTTGCACCATTTTGGTGCAACATTTAGATCAAGAATTGTCCTAAGTCATTTAATAATATCCCCTTTTTCCTATCTTCATTTGTTAGATCAATCAAGAAGAGCTGCACCTTAGCTGCCCAAATCATTTGCCCAACTCTCTTCCATGATTAGTTACAACTCAGCTCACACTAATCAAGTTTATCTCTAATTTTTAATTAATTTACTTTAAATTCTTCATGTGACATTCCATATATATTTAGCCAATGATTAATTAAAGTTTGTGAACCCATTATCATCACTTGACTTTTTCTCTTGGCACGCACCTTCGTGGAAATTGATTTTGTATTAGTTTATTATTGAAAAAGGTCCAATAATTCTCTTGAAAAAGTTAATAATTGTATGATTATTTTTACATTTATTTTCCTAAAATTGTATGTTTTTTATTTTATTTTATAGGATGCTCGTCGGTACATGGAATGTTGGCGGCAAATCTCCACACGATGGATTAAACCTCAATGATTGGTTAAAAACCAAATCCCCAGCTGACATTTATGTACTAGGGTATAATGTTCTCTTGGTCAACGCGTTACAAATATTTATTTGTTTCTAATCAATATGGTCAACAAATAAAATAAAATGAAAAGTTACACTAATTCAATCCAATTCATATTCTCCCCCCAAAAATCCAATTTCTTATGTTAATTTCATATGATTCAATCTGACTTCATATTTTACTATTGTCTTTTCGTATTATCTATTTAATCTGACTAAGGTTTGACACTAGATATAAATTTAACTAAATTTTATGTCATGTTTAAGTGATGCTTGATCTCTATAAATATGTCGTTTTGTGTTCGAATTACATGATGTGTCAGTTATTCTCATTAATTTTTAAAATAAAAATTTGATTATCTGATTTAATGATACAAAAATACTATATAGTAACTAATTTTATTTTATTTTTTTTCCGCAACCAAATTCAGGTTCCAAGAGATTGTACCATTAAACGCAGGCAACGTGCTAGGGCCCGAGGACTGCGGCCCGGCCCAAAAATGGCTATCCTTAATCCGACAAGCCCTAAACCGTAATCCCGAGGACTCCGTGTCCAAACAGTCCCTTACACCAAACAACCAATATTCCAATCCAAGGGTCAGCTTCTCGGACTTGCTTTCACTAGAAGACGATTTGGAAAATTTGAGGTCCATTTCCTGCTCCGGTGAGGAGGGTTCACCTGGACCACCCAATGGTGATTGGACAAAACATCATAGTGCAAGACAGCACAATAAGTACTGTTTGGCTGCGAGTAAACAAATGGTCGGGATTTTCCTGTGTGTTTGGGTTCGTCAGGATTTGTACCATCACATAAGTAGTTTGAAGGTCTCGTGCGTTGGCAGGGGAATCATGGGATACCTTGGAAATAAGGTACAAAGTTTCTATTTTCAAGTTAAAAATTCAATTCACAAGGGATAATATTTATTGTTCCAAAATCATGTTTCAATTTTCTTTCACTTCATCGTAGAGTGACACAGATATAAATAATAGTATATTTTTATTTATAGATACATGTTATTCATCAAATTGAATGAAATATGAATTGAAACATGATTTTAGAACAGGAGATCTCATCATCGTTATGAGATTCTCAATATTATATAACCTTATGTTGTCGATTTAATCATACTAGTTTGAAGGTCGATGCCCCTTTTAACATCTAGCGTGAAAACACTAAAGTTTTGTATAAGCTCAATCGATATCAGTAACGTCTAAACAATCATATTTTTTCAACAAATATGTACGAATTGAAATATCATACTTAAAAAAATCAATACTAACAAAAATATAAAATTTTTCATTTTATACATATAAATTTTTGTTAAATAAATGTATGACAGGTCGATCAGCTCAAGTGTGAATTAACAAATATATCGAGTATTTATAATCTACAAACCATAAACAACCTTTTTTTAATGTAATTTTGTGATAAATATTAATGTTTTTTTTTTAACATGTTAGGGAGCAATATCTGTCAGCATGGTATTGGACAAAACAACATTTTGCTTTGTGTGTACTCACTTAGCCTCTGGAGATAAAGGGAGTGATGCCATTAGAAGGAATTTAGATGTAATGGAGATTATGAAGAGAACAAGATTCTCTCATCCATTTGGAATCCCGGGAAAACCAATGCCACCAGAAAATATTTTTGACCATGAGTAAGCTACATTTTTCTTAAGTATATATAAATATAAATGTGGTTTACATTTTTTTTTTCTTTTTGTCATTTTTATTTTTATTTTTATTTTTATTGTAGCAAGATAATTTGGTTTGGGGACTTGAATTATCGGTTGGCATCAAGTTGTGGGGATACATATGAGCTACTACAAAAGAATGATTGGCAAGCTCTTCTAGAGAAAGATGAGGTTAGGCCTTGAAATTATTATTATTATTATTATTATTATTATTATTATTAAAGATTTTGTTTTGATTTTTTAATGTTATTTTTTACTGCGTTTTGTATTATAACAGTTGAGAATAGAGCAAAAGGCCGGTCGAATATTCAAAGGATGGGAAGAAGGAGAGATATTTTTCGCTCCGACCTATAAATACATCACTGATTCCGATCATTACGTAGTTCAGATGTCATCTTCAAAAGAAAAACGACGCACTCCTGCTTGGTAAATATTTTAATCTAATTAGCAATACAATATAAATAAAAGTATTATATTTTACAATAAATAATGATTGGTAAATAATATTTTGTGAGAGATTAAAAATTACTAAAATAACCCCCTATAGTCACTCATGTTATATATTAATTGTTATTTTGGCAAATACCTTTTTATGCTTCACATGTTCAACAACTTTCTTTTTTTTTTTTTGTTTTTTGGTACAAGTTCAACAACTTTTTAAGTCAACTTTAGTTCATAGGTCGGTCATTATGGTGATAAACATGCCAGAAAATATTCAGATTAATCTGTGTTACTTTCACATATTAGTCAATAATAGTAATTTAATTTGAATTATTATATACTTGGAAAGATGAGAGAATAATCTAGGGCTGATGCAATNTATTGGAAAAAACCAATAGCTACCGTACAAGTAAGTTGAAAATGGAAATTGCATAATTGCACCACTCATTTTATTAAAAAAGAATTTTTATGTGATTTTATTACACGAGTTCATATTATTATAATAAATTACATATTAATATTGTGAATATTCTGCTATTTTATTTTTATATTCCGTGAATATTTTCTAACCGTTAAGCTTGACTAAATGTCGCATTGGTATTTTATTAATGTTTTATCCAATTAACAAATTACAAATTTTTCTAAGATTTATCTATTTTTTATTTTTAAATGATTAATAATTTGTTTATTTATTTTGAATTGATTTGATATATAGGTGTGACAGAATACTTTGGAAAGGAGAAGGGATAAAGCAAATGTGCTATGTTCGGGCCGAGTCGAGATTTTCGGATCACCGGCCCGTTTGTTCACTTTTCTCGGTGCAGGTCAATTTACGATTAAACCCCTACCCTAAGTCCAATATTACAACAGAGACGCGGACCAACTTTTTAGCTTCATCTAATCAAGACGACTTTTTTTTAGTCACGAAAACTCGGAGCTGTATACAGACCACCCAAAGGTTCATGGACCCGAACGTCCAGAGCCAATAACGAAGCGACACGTCTCGGGTGTGTATAATGACTTTATCAATGTACATGAAATGGTTTTTGAATTATGTTAATTCTTCATTGGATTCTTACTTTTTNGTTGTGCAAAATTGTAAAGAAATTAGATCAAGCTAAATGTTTCTGCTCATTTTTTTTTTTAATATGGGCTGTATTTATTGAAAGGCCATTATTAATTATAAATTTTTGTTTTGACTTTTCAAGTAAGTTTAATATCAAATAATCTTTAGAGCTTGATATTTGATAATTTCTCATATAGTCCTATCAAATATCATTCTTATATAATTTTGTCTCTTTTCTATTCCTTTTTCCCATGTTTATGTAAGTTTAGAGCTGCAAACAAGACAAACGAGCTCAAAGTCCTGACACTCGAACTTGAGGTCAAGTCCTTATCAAGCCGAGCCAAGTCTTGTCGAGTTCGGCTTGTTAGGTTAATGAGTCGATAAATGAGTTTGAGCATTAATGAATCGGTACATGATAAAAGCTCAATAGAAGAGTAAAACCCTTATTTATCAAACCTAATCATGAGCCTAAAGATTTTGAGTCGAGCTCGGTTCATTAACTAAACAAGCCTTAAACGAGCTCAAATTTGAGTCGTTTATGAACCAAACTCGAAATTAGTATCAATGGTGGTAAAAATAAGAAATTAAACGTTAACTTGTTTTGTTTTTAGTTTTCTAAAAGCAAGCTCCTCGTCAGAAGCCCACTTAATTATTTATAAGCTGTTCTAATTTTCAGCCCAACTGTACCCAGTCTAGAATTGATATTCCTAATAGTTACCCATCTATTTCTAACCCATTATAATTTCTAGCCCATTGGTAAGGCCTTATACTCGACAGACAGTTACATTTATAAGTAACTAATTTAACAAATATGTAACACAACCATATTATCAATCAACAATAAAAAACACACACACACACACACAAAAAAATGATTATTAATTTGTCAAGCACAATATTTTAAGTCATCTGTCTGTAAGTACAAATCTTTAAATGGCATAGCGGTGGAAATCCCTTAAGTACAAGCAGTCATTGCCTACCTTCAGTGGCCTTAAATTTTCTGCCTATAATAGTCATAGCGCACACACACATATATATATATATATGAAAATTGCAAATTAATTTCAAAATTTGTTGTTTCTTATATATGTTAGAGAGTTAACAACAAATGTTTGGAGTTACAACTCCTCCTTAATTTAATTTAATTTAATTTACTCTTCAATTAGGAGCTTCTCCTTTTTGTTCACCAGTTGTCACAACCTCCAATTTTGAGTCCACAAGGCTCCCACCATTGCTCATATTTGTGCCTTGTTTGATTGGTATTTCTTTCTCTTCAACCCTTGGGGTTTCATAGTCTTTCCTTTTGCCCCAAACCACAAAATAAAGCCCCATAACTATGACAATTGCACCAACAACCCTGCATAAAGAAGCAAACAATTACATCTTATAGCTATGGCACACACCAATATGTGATTTATATATATCTCTTTGAAAGGGCTTGCATATTCATTTCACTTAGAAGGCAAATTTGCATATAAAATCACCATCTTTAAGGTTTTTACAATTTAATCACCATATTTTGCTACTTGCATTTAAATCGGCACCTTTCATATGTTGTGTAGATCGAAACATAAATTCAACTTTGTGTGTTTCGATCTGCATAAATGCAAAAGCCTTAAAGGTGGTGATTTTATATGTAATTTAATTTGTCTAATTACAATAAACTAAATGACCTACAGTTGACTATCATACGTTTATGAGAAAAATGTGATCTTGGATTATCTATTGATATTTTGGTCACTATTTAGGCCAACTAACAACATTGTTTATTCGTGAATATCTAATTATCTATCTATCTATAATCTATATAAGAAAAAAACATAATTGTGTCATTACCTTCCCAAGTACATTTGCTCGGCCAGAATAAACGAGCTCAAAATCGCGACAATAACCATGCTCAAAGGGCTAAATGCAGTCACGAAAACCGGGCCTCTCTCTTTCATTACCACACCTTGCACGTAATATGCGATGCCCGAACAAAACACACCCTGCAAAAAAGAAATTAATTAGTAATTAATTTCCTTTACACCAATAATTTGGTTTT